GTGGGTGGGCATAGAATGTGGGGTCGTTGGGGTCAACATGAGTGCTGACTGAAGACTGAGTTAAGGAAGCAAGCCATGTGATACTGGAATAGTAGGGGGAGAGGGGTCAAGAAGAGTGTCCCCCAGTGAAGGGCAGGCAGGTGGGTCTAATAAATATCAGAGGCTGAAACATAATACTCTGTGGCTTGGTGCTTGCTCTGGCGAGTTTTACATCAATTTGACAAAAGCTACAGTCATCAGAGAAGAGGGAGCCCCAACTGAGAGGATGCCACAGTAAGACTGGGCTGTAGGCAGCCCTAGCAGGGGCCCAGTTGATTATGGGTGGTGCCATCCCTGGGCTAGTGGTCCTTGATTCTGTAAGAAAGCAGGCTGAGCAAGCCTGGAACTAGAGTAACAGACAGTAGTTGTGAACTTCAATGTGAGTGCTGGGAATCAAACTTGGGTTCTCTGTAGGAATAAGTGTTCTCAACTGGTGAACCATCTCTGATGGGAGAAGTATTTCTGTACAGAGGTATACGGACTTTGAACTACTTTACTCACCTCTCCTGATTTATATCCTGCCTTACCTGATTTGTTTGCATAGTGTAGAAGGTAAGAACTCCAGAAATAGGAGTTTGTCTTACAATAAATGGAAGGATCCAGATTGTTCTTTTTTATGAATTTAATTCTGTCAGTTTTGGGATAATTGTTGCTAATTGTTCCCAAAAAGTCAGTAAGAGCTATCTGCCAGTATTCATTATCCTTCCTAAGGAGGAAATTTCCTCATTAGTTAAAGGTACTATAATTTCTGCTGAATCTTTTCCAGTCAGTTGATGAAGTCTTAATTTGCCCTTTAAAATCAAATCAGAAATCTTTTCTATGTATGTCTTTAGCTTTTTATTCTGTTTATGTGGCAGAAATATTCATTCTAATATAGTATCTTCCCTCTCCATCAGAATCCCTGAAGGGTATTCTCTGGATGGTAAGATAACCAGAATATAGTCTAAATTAGCTAAGGTCCACATGGTCTACATCCAGTATTCTGCTTTCTACCAATTGTAATTCTTTTTCCATGTAATTCTTCAACATGGACTGTTGAAGTCCTTGTCCCCTTTAAGGGCCATTTTTAAATGCTTTAAGTCATGTCCTTCCACTCCAATAATTGTCTGTAGTTGAGAAATTTTCCCTAGCAGCTTCTTCACAGTATTAAGAGTTTGGTAATGATCTCTTCTAATTTGTACCTTTTGTGGCCTGATTTTTTGCAAGTCTATCTTGTAACCTAAATAATTAATAGAATCTCCACTTTGTATCTTTTCTGGGGCAATCTTTAATCCCCAATGAGGTAGAAGTTCTTTCACAGTTTCAAACATTCGTTCTAATGTTTCTTTATTAGGATCTGATAATAAAATATTATCCATATAATGATAAAGAATGGATTGTGGAAATTTCTTATGAATTATCTCTAAAGCACTTTTGTATGAAGTGCTGGCACAAGGTAGGACTATTTAGCATTCCTTGTGGCAAAACCTTCCAACTTACATATTCTAAAAATGCTATGACTTCTACATTTAAATATAAGGACGGGATACTTGGGAAAAGAATTTTTGCTTGTATTTCCACAGAAAATGTAAAGCTATGGATTCCTTCCAGACTAATATGGTTCAATGAAGCAAGACCCCCTGAAGCAGTGTCCCGGGTGATCCAACATCTAAAACAGCTGAGATGATACAGCCTTACAGACTACAAAAACAAAGATCTGGCCAAGTTTCTGCGTTTTACCATGATCCCCATGGTATGGACATCGAACCCAACCAACAGGAAGTAGTTTGGAATGAGCGACAGCCAAATTCCCAAATATTGTTGATAAATGTTTGTTTTCATTTAAATGGGGTTGGTTAGAAATGGTAATGACCACAGTTAATCTCTTTTTAAAGGAAAAAAGGGAAATAGGATATAGAAATTAATATTTTGCATTGGTATAGATTTTCATTTATTGATACAAATTTAAAGGTTAATTTTGCTATATGTAAATTTTTCCTCTTGTTTGTGTATAGTGGTTATACAGGTCTTTTAAATGTAATGCATAATTAAATACAGATTCTATAGTCACCTATAATAGTCAGAACTTATAATTAGGTTAGTTAGATGTATTTGAGTTGGATAGTCTTCAAACCTTTCAAAGACCTACAGAATATATGACATTTAAATGGTTTAGGGTTTTTCATGGTAGTGAGACATAACTGCTCCTGGCACACCAATTACATCTGAGAGGAAGATGGGCATCGAAGAAACTCAATATGGAGTTTGCCTTCAACATGGCAAGATTAGCCATTTGGGCAAGAAACTGCTCTTGCCTGGACTGTTTGATAAACTGGACATGCAGGACCCACAAGAAAGTGACTGCTGAACTTGCAAAACAAGATAGTCCTGAAGGGTTCCTGTTTCATGGAGAAGTCTGCCAGACACACTGTGGCCTATAAGCTGAAGATGGATGCCCCAACATTATAGAGGAACTTCAGGTGACTGTCCAGACAGCGAGATGTCTCTGTCAGTTCTAGAGTTTATATATTATCCCTCTGTGGTCTTTGATGGAATTGAAGACAGATAGTTATGGTTATAGTTTTCTTTGGTTATTGTGAAAGATAAGCAGCATGTAGGACTTTGGACTTACAAGCATAGGATGGATAATAGAATGTTTTCTTTAAATCTTGCTAAATGTTTTTTTCTTCTTTAATTTTTTAAATTTTAATTAGAAAGAAGATTATTTTACATGTCAATCCCAGGTTCCTCTCCCTCCCCTGCCCCCCCAATAACACCCTACCTATCCCATACTCTTTCTGTTCCCCAGTGAGGGTGAGGCCTTCCATAGGGGTCTTCAGAGTCAGTCAAATCCTTTGGGATAGGGCCTAGGCCAACCCCCTTGTGTCTAGGCTCAGTGAGTATCCCTCTATGTGGGATGGGCTCCCAAAGTCCATTCCTATGCAAGGGATAAGTACTAATCCACTACAAGGGGCCCCATAGATTTTCAAGGTCTCCTCACCGACACCCACAGTGGGTCTAGATCAGTCCCATGCTGGTTTCCCAGATATCTGTCTGGGGACCAAGAGCTCTCTCTTTTTCAGGTTAGCTGTTTCTGTGGGTTTCACCAGCCTGGTCTGGACCCCTTAGCTCATCAGTCCTCCTTCTCTGCAACTGGATTCCAGTTCATTTCAAGGTTGTGTCTGCTTCTACTTCCACCAGCTGCTGGATGAAGGCTATAGGATGGCATATAAATTAGTCATTAATCTCATTATCAGGAGAGGGCATTTAAGGTAGCCTCTCCTCTGTTGCTTAGATTGTTAGTTGGTGTCATCTTTGTAGCTCTCCAGACATTTCTCTAGTGCCTGTAAATCTTGCTAAATGTTAATGGACTAAATATTCTAACTATAGTTCTTACTTGATAACTGTCTTGTTATATATTTTTCTATGTTAATGTTAAAACCCTTCTTTTTATTTAGGCAGAAAAGAGGAGATGATGGGGGAAGTCCTTCGGTGTAAATGTTTGTCTTATTGGTTGATAAATAAAGCACTGTTGGCCAATAAATAGAGAAGTAATATAGGCAGGACTAGGAGAGAAGGAGGATTCTGGGAAATGTAGTAAAGACGGAGTTGCCATGTGATCACCAGCAAGAGAGGGCACATATGGCCAGTGTCCTAGATAAGATAAATCTTTATAAAATATATAGACTAATAGTTATGGCTGATAATTAAGACTGAGCTAGCAGATAAGAAATCCTAGTCATTGGCCAGCATCATTGTACCGAATATTAATCTCTGTGTGTTATTTTGGGCGCCCACGTGGTGGCGGGGCTGGCGGAAATATTTATTATTATACCAGTCCCCCTCCTTCCATCTCTTGCTGAGATGATAAGACTTCTTTGACTCCTCACAGCTTGGCATGATTCTGTTTCCATCTAACCAGAGCTGGGCCTCAGCTCTATAGCCACAGACGTCACACAGCCCTAAGACTGTACTGTCTCATTTCATTTAAATACAATCTGAATCTTGACTTACACTACCAACTGAGATTCCATAGCAACTGGACTCAAAACAAGTCTAAGTCTATGGTATTTCAACCTATTGGTTACAACCTCCCATAGATAGGGAGGTCACATGCCACATATTTACATTATGATTCATACATAACAGTAACAAAATTAGTTATAAAGTAGCAACAAAATAATTTTGTGGTTGGGAGGGTCACCACAGCATAAGGAACTGTATTAAAGGGTCACAGCATTAGAAAGGTTGAGAACAATTGGTGTAAATGTTAAGTAAAAATTAGTGAATGATCAGCTTATATGTTTGGGATGTAGGTTCTGTGCCCCATCTCTGGTCCTTATCCAAAGGACCCAGGTTCAATTTCTAGCACACATATGGCAACTCACAACTGTCTATAACTTTAGCCCCAGGCATGGGATCTGTTGCCCTCTTCTAGACTTCATGGGCACTGCACACACATGGTGTGCAGACATACATGCAGACAAAACACCCATCCCATAAAAAATAAAATAAAAGTCTTACAACAGAGCCAATTCATATAAAAAGTATTTAATATAAAGAGCATCAAGACACAGAAAATCTGATGACATACAAAATATGATACGACTCAAATTTCCCTTTACCTGTCAAGAATTATATGAACAAAGAATGCTAAGCCTCATTGTAGTCACCTTTCTCAAACAAACCTTCCAGATCAGCCAACATGGAGGTTACAAGGAACTGAGTGAAACTAAACAAATAAACAACCATATTCTTAAAAATAAATAGCCAATACAAAGTTTTTTTTTTAATTTAAAAATAGCACCATTGGAAAAGAAGAACCTGTTTTTTTCAATTTAAAGTACCTGAGCAGGTAATATACCAAAATTCATGCACCATAAACTTTGGTTTATTTTTATTGTTGTTGGCATGGTTTTCTGAAACAGGGTTCTACATATACTAGGCTAGCTTCAAATTCACTATGTACCAAGACTGGCCCTGAACCCTTCCTTATTCCTCCTGCCTCTACCTCCCACATGCTGGGATTTTAGGTGTTTGCCAGGACATCTGGCTGTGTGGTTGATTCTTAAATCTTTGATGCAATCTGGACTGGGATATTAAAAGAGAATATTTGTTTTGAAAGTACAACTTTAAGTAACTAAAAAGTCAAAAGACAGCTAGTGGGTAGTGATGAACACACGGACCAGCCAGAGTGTTCCTGTTTTCCAACATTTCTGTCACCAGTCAGGGACCTCAACTACAAAGGGTGTTTTCACATCTATCTTGCCACTGTTGACGATGGTGCAGTCAGTAAATGGGCGGTCATGATCATCCGTTGCTTGAAGTTCTATGGAGTGTACCACAGTCTGGCAAGAGAAAAGACAGATCTGATGACTGATGTGGGAGGGCTCAGCCCGCTATGTATGGGTAGGGCCATCCTTGGGGTGGTGGTCCTGGATGACATAAGAAAGCAGGCTGAGCAAGCCATGGGGAGCAAGCCAGTCAGCAGAAAGTCCTCCATGGTTTCTGTATCAGTTCCTGCCTCCAGGTTCCTTCTCTGCTTGAGTTCCTGCCCTGACTTCCTCAAGTGATGAACAGTGATGTGCAACCATAGGCCAAATACACCCTTTCCTCCCCAGTTTACTTTTGGTCATGGTGTTTCAGCAATACAAACTCCAGCTAAGACAAATCCCTTCCTCTCCAAGTCTCTTTGGTCAGTGTTTTGTCACAGAAACAGGGAAGCTAACCAGGATACTTGGACATTTGGCAGAGGCTGAGAAAGCTGTTCTGGGAAAGCTCTAGAAGAAATCCCAAGAGAGGTATGAATTAGATCTCTTGGCTATTTTTCCAGTGAATAACTAGCAATGTAGATTTGGGTCCTCTTAATAATTTCTGGTTATTATAACCTGTGTCTTTATATGTGACTTAATATGTGGACCGAATAACATAAGTTCAGGATTTTTTTTTCAGGACAGGGTTTCTCTAGAGACTTGGCTATCCTGGAACTCACTCAGACCAGGCTGGCCAGAGGCAGAGATTCTCTGCCTCTGGAGTGCTGGAATTAAAGGCATGTGCCACCATTGCATAGCTGAAGATTTTTTTTAAGTATTTGTTTGTTTACTTATTATTGAGAGAAGTCTTGCTTTTAGTCCAGGCTGGCTTAGGACTTTCTTTATACCACAGATAGTCTTGAAGTCATAATCCTCCTGCCTCTCCTCTTTAGTATTGGAACTACAGTCATGCACCATCACACTTGGCTATAATATTTTAATTTAATTTCTGAGATAGGCTCTCACTTTGTATCTCTGTCTGTCCTCAGGACTCACTATGTAGACTGGGATGGTCTCAAATTCAGAAGTCTGCTTGGCTCTACCTCTTGAGTGCTGGGATTAAAGATGTACACCACCTGCAGGCTAATATTTTATTTTAATTGTAGTAAGAAAATATATCACAGTTTGCCAGTCAATCCATTTTTAAGTAGTATTGTACAGCAATATACTCTATATTTAAAAATTTCCATTCTAGAGATAGGCTTCTTAAGATTCAGGAGCAAACAATTCACAAATCTCAGAAAGTCCCTAAAATTTACAAGATTCACAAGGTACCTCCCTCAAGTTATATAAGGAATAAAGATTGATGTAGGCAAAGAGGACTCTTAAGACAGTTGAATTGCTGGGAAGCATGCATAGAGCTCCAAGGTTGTAGCTTTTTTGAGTAGCCATCCATGATGGGATGGGCTTTTCAGTGATATAGCTGCCTTTGAGTCATGTGCTCCTGTAAGTAATCAGTCATCTAGACTCCTATAGGAAACCCCAATTAAACTCATTGGTTCACCAAGTTTAACTTTGGTAGAATCACTCCATTGGTTTGTCATCAGTGTTCTATCTACGGTAAATAGATATTTGTCCATATCTTCCCAAGAAAAGTCACAAAATGAATACAGAGCTCAGTAGTGGTTACATGCATGCAACCAGAAGTTTGGTCAATTTGCAAAAGTAAGCTCTGTATTCATTAAATACTTCTGTTTCCTCACCCCTGACAACTGTCAATTTTTTTCTAGTCCTATGAACTTTACTATTCTAAATACTTCATATAATTAAACTCATATACTATTTGTCTTTTTGTAACTGGATAAGGTTTCAAATGTGTGTGAATAGATAGGCAGACACATAGACTCATGGATAGATAGATGATAGATCGTCTGGGTGTGTGTGTGTGTGTGTGTGTGTGTGTGTGTGTGTGTTTGTATGTGTGTGTGTGTTATCGCATGTATTTAAATGTTCTTTAGATTACCAAATAATATTTTATTTAATGCATATCCAGTCCCTGGTTTATTTGATTACATTTCTCAAATTAACTGAAGTACCTAACTTCTTCAGTGTCTGCTTTAACGCCTCTCTAGCAATTAAAATCCATATGCAATTTGTTCACCTTCAAAATCTCTAGTCATAGCCAGGCAGTGGCGGCACATGCCCTTAATCCAAGCACTCAGGAGGCTAGTGGCAGGTGGATCTCTCTGAGTTCAAAGTTATCCTGGTCTACAAAGTGAGTTCTGTAGACAAAGACTATACAGAGAAACCCTGTCCTAAAAAACAGCAAAACAAAACAAAAACCACCAACAATAAAAAACTCTAGTCACCATATGAAAGCTATCTAATAACACATTTGAAGATTCAATGAATTACTGAAGTTCTCCTCGTAAATATAAAGTTTTATAAGAGGGAAGAAAAGACAAATCAAATTACCATCCCATCCAGGACTTTTCCAAATACAACATGTTTGCCATCCAACCATGAGGGCTTGGTCAAGGTGATGAAGAACTGGGAGCCATTGGTGTCGGGGCCAGCATGCTGACCCACCCAATGCCATAGTGCTTCAGTTTGAAGTTCTCATCAGGAAATGTCTCACCATAAATGCTCTTTCCTGGGTGAGGCAAGACAAGGAGGGACAAAAGCAAACGTTAAAAGCAAACTCTTCAGAGAAACTGAAGTCTTTCACGCCATCAGTTAGTAGAATCTCACAGGTGACAGGGATGAGGATAGGCAAACATATGAAGTGAGTGGGTAGGATAAAACTGACTGTTTAAGGAAATAGGCATCAGGGTCTGAACCAAACCAAAGAAGGCCCTTTAATATGGCACAAGATTAAAGTACCCATGGCTCCAACCCAAAATTTGACAAAATACGTCAGTGATTTCATTTTGAAGGGAAGATGGCATCTGAAAGCAGGCTATAAAGGTGCCTGAGCCATCCTGGTGGCTTTGCCTCTGCTGTATGCTCAAACGAATTGTTCCATCTCCTCACCGACCAGGTAACCAAGCATCGAGTGCATACATTGGTTTAACTCCACAACAGCCCCACAGGACAGGCCTTCTTAGTCCTGGTTTTTGCTGGGAAAGAGTTACAAAACCACAAATAGCAGAGCAGAATTGCAACATCTGGCTCTCAGACTCTAAGCCTACTGCTTTTTCTTGTCTCAGCACCAAGAGCAGCAGTAGCTAGTCTGTAAGTAATAGGTGTGACTTCAGTGCCTATCGGACACAGAAGATGATCAAACTAAGGAATACTCATGTCCTGGAGCTCTAGCT